TGGTTCTTGCAATTAGTGAATAGCAATTGAAATCTGAATTTTTGTATGGAAATATCAAAAGGTTGGAAAAGATAAATATATGAAGTTAAAGAACATTCACAATTATCGATTGTTATTTGTTAACTTTAAGTAGCTTTTATGGTTAAGATAAATATATGAAGTTTGTGGTTGTTGGGTAATGGCACTTGCTGACTGAAATATTGGGTTAAGTTTAGCAAAGATTAATCTGATCTGCTATTTTAAATCTTGACTGTGTTGTTCCTGCAGCAGCATTATTGTTGTCTTGTGTTGTTCGTAGGATGATTCTGGTTTCTACTATAGTCATGTGGTTCAATTAACTTATGGAAGAACAAGAAAAATTTTTTAACCAAGCCATCAAGAAATTTTGATCTCATTGGTGATTTGATGCTAATTTGTGTCAGGTATCCAAACCTCTGGGCACTAGTCATTCTTGATATGGTACTACCATAATAGCAGATTGATTTGCATATCTTTCACTTTTTATATTATTGGTAGAGGAGTTGATTTTTTACAGGAAAATCAAAACATGGTCTTGTATGTGGTACATGATGTGCTTAGCTTATTTTCTTCAAGGGGTATTTTCCATTTTTACTGATGTTTTAGTTTCTTTTTCTCTTTGTTTTTTCTTCAACTCACTTATAAAATTATTAATCTGAAGCTATCTTACAGAGCAACATCAAATAATCTTGAATCTGTTCAAAGGCATAGTACCTTTATTAAATAAAGAAAGAAAAAAAAAAAAACAAAAGAAAGAAATTATAATCATTGAATTTTTCCAAATGATCCTAGGTTGCTATTTTGCTTCTTGCTGAGATCATTCTGAAAAGTGTAGCTGTTCGCAATCTCACAGTGGTGGCTAGATTTGTGGTAGGTTTTCCGTTTATGTTTCCATTTTCCTCTTGAACTGGCAACTAAACTTTTCTGAAAAACTTTTAACTTTCTCTCTCGGACTCCTTGGTCTGTGTTGCTATTTAACTCTTTTCTACTTAGCTGATTTTTTTTTTTTAACAGCATTTCTACTTAGCTGATGACTGGTAGCTATTTAAAATTATTTGACAAATGTTGTTTGCTGTGACACTAGGTCAGGCCAGTGGCTTGGCTTTCCTTGATATTATCTCTTGTGGGAAGAACTGTTACATATTTGTTAGTGGGAATGCTTAAAGTACTTGGTCTGAAAGGGAAAAGGTGAAGGAAATTGTATCCTCCATTTTGTCTGTTGCATTTTTTGTTTCCAGTTGTTTGTTAGTGTTAAGTTTGTATTGTCTGCTTTCTAATTGCTTTGCATGGTTTCCCTTTAAATTCGTGAGCCTTATGTTACTGAAGATGAATTGCATTTTAACTGAACATTAGTTAGCAGATTTGTTCACTAAAGGTCTGCAAAAATCCAGGTTTGAAACTCTTAGAGGAAAGCTTGGTGTCTGTTGCCTTATTGTCAAGGATTGTTGAAGTTAGGCATGACACTAAGGCCACAGGCCTCCATTTTCATGCATTGATGTTCTTCAAGTCAGTTGAACTGAAATGCAAGTAAGACAGCTCAGTTGGCATCTTTTGTTATAGTTTAATATCTTAGTTTATTGAACATGTGACTTTTGTCCTTTTGTAGTACTTTGCCTTTATTGTAAGGATCTTTGGAGACATAGATCCATGTCTTTAGGAAAGCTGATAGTTTACTTTTGTAAGCTGTGGGACTATATTTTGAATTTCAATGAAATGAGCTTGTTCTGGTCTCCCTTCCTATTTTTCCCTCTTTTCTCCATGAAAATTTACAATCCGAACTCAATCTGTATATGTTGCTAGCATGGGTAAAATGGAATCTGTGCACTGAGCCTCCTCTGGTGATTGAAATAAATCGTCCAGCCCATTCTTGGCCATCTCATGGAGAAATTAAATGGACTAGATTTTACATGTTTGATTCTTTTTCTCCCCACGGACCCCTCCCCCATTGTAATGCACTAGTTTGATCTCAAATCCAGTGTTTAAAATGGATTCCCTGTCTTATATTCTAGTGCTTCAGTTAATGAGAAGGGAGAAAATTGGAGCATAAGACAGAGACAGCTGGTTTGTCTTGGCTGCGTGTTACTGAAGAAAAGTAAGGTCTAAGTGCTTGGTGAAGCTACAACATCTGTGGACACAGCTACTGATAATTTGATTCAGCAAACCCTAAGGGAACACTTTTCAGACTCTGCAGTCTTAACCATTGCACACCAGATAACTTCTGTTCTAGACAGTGACATGGTTCTGCTTCTAAATAATGGTATGAATGGTTTTATTTCAAGTTCAATTTTTTCCCGTTAGATACAGAATTAGAGTATGTATTAAATTGATTTAATTGTCGTTAACTGGTAGGACTCATTGAAGGGTATGATTCTCCTGCAAGATTGCTGGAAAACAAGTCTTCATCTTTTGCTCAGCTTGTGGCAGAGTACACTACAAGGTCAAATTCTAGTTTTGACCATTGAACATCAAACCTTAATCACTGCAGCTGAGACAAGTTTTGTCACGACAATGATGAAGATTTGCTCAGATGACTTAATATTTTCGCACTTGGTATTGATGATAATGGCATCAAGATGACTCATTGTGTACTTCATATAAATCTTTGTTTGAAATAATATCTATCTTGTGTCGTTGTGATATCTGTTGTTTTTTTTATAATGTTTCTGTTTACTTGCTCTAGTTTGCAGACTTTATAAGGGTTTCAAAGTAGGAAAGTAGCTAGAAAGATGAACATAGTGGTCGGACCCTTTTCAATGTTCATCCGACCAAGTCTTGTACGGTCATATATTGGCTTAAGTTAAGACATGTATCCTTTTGGTGTATTGTAACTGTAGATTCATAGTTGAAACAACACATTCGGTTCTATAGCATTCCTAAAATATCAAAATCCAATACTTCATATATATATATATATATATATAGTGCTCTGCACACTCTCTGCCTTCCTAAATGTTGTTACTCGCTTTCTCATTTTCTTTACATGCTTCTTCTCATTTCAGGAACACAGCTCTGCTCTGATGAGGAGGCCGTTGCTGCTCTGCTGCAATTCAGGACTTCCTTTTGCATCAATAACACTGCTTCTGATTCTGAACTCTGTGCGTTTCTAAATGATACTGTTCTCCATTTTAAGACTTGATCATGGAAGGAAAATAACAACAATTATATATAGAGGTGTCAAACCGTTTCAGTCATGCAATATGAACATTTTGAAAAAAAATGTCTAGGATTCCAAACTCAAGCCACTGAAATGATATCCCAATCTGTTGCATCGTTAAATACTTCTAACAAGAATTGGATTGCTCCATCTTTGAGAAGGGATCATCACATCACGTTACCACTGACCTTTCAAAGCTAGCACTCTAGTCTGAATACACTAGCTTTTCATTGGTGATTGTTCTAGTTAGAAAATTATACGTGTGTGACAAACTAAGGTCTAGACATTATCACAAAAATCTTCTCTATCATTTTATCCTTAGATTTTTCTTGTGAATAATATACACTGAACCTCATTTATTTGTTTCTCGCAAAATTTTAGTGATATTGAAAATTAATATAAGGCATTGATACAGTTATCAGCTCTTGGTCACAAGGACTAGAAATGATAGTTCATTTGTAAACATCATCCAATCAATTGAGCCCTCAGAAGGGAAAAAGGAAAATGGAGTTTTCTCATAAATTGAATACCACGGCAATGAAAGACAGATTATGGTGCCACGGGCAAGACTCAATTAGATCTTTTTGTCAATTTTATGTGAGAATTTTTGTCATGTTAATTAAATTAAATTAAAATAATATATACAAAAAAATAAAAAATATGTTTTTTTTCTCATGGTCAGTTGCATTTACAAAGAGTTAAAAACTCGGGTCTTCTCTCAATTTTCCAACCACAAACTTTCTATCAAGTAAAATTTAGGATTTGAAAGGTGAACATATTTTTCCACTTGATTGATTAAAGACTTCATGGAAGACTAGCTAGTCTTCTATTCATCACCGATAATTGAGGCCAAATTGAAAAATTAATGATAGCATGGATCTAAGTCTAGCTTACTGAAAGACTTCTGCTTATAACATTTTCTTTCTTTGACAAATAAAATATATCTTTGGTCTCGTTGAAAAGATGTTTTTCAAATCAATATGAATTCGGGATTAACCTTTGAAAAAGGAAAGCTTTGAAGGATAAAATGTAATTTTAAGAATAAAATCATCTTGAAATTCTAATGCTTTGCAAATCCTACTTTGTTTGGTGTATAAATGAATAGATCCAAACTTTTCATTAATCTCATCTATGTATGGGAAGATGAATAGTTTTTTTTTGGTGTTAATGACGTGTTATAAATAAATATTATGAATTTGGGGAAAAAAAATTATGCGATCAAGTTCTTGACTTTTGCAAGTGGCATTAGAATGGTGACATGGTATAATTAACAGTTAAAGCCTAGCTAGGAGCAGTTCGAAAAAACAAATGCCTCAAAAGGAAAAAAAAAAAAAAAAAAAAAAAAAACTTAAACAACACCGTGCGAAGGACTTGACTCATGTCACCATGACCAAGACTCAATTGGGTTTTGTCAAATTTTTCTTGTAATCAATTAGATCAAATCACAAAGTTATAGGCATAAAAATGAGAGGATGTTGCCATCTCATGGGTTGCGATTGCATGGAATCGAAGATTTAGGTCTTTCTCTTAATTTACCACCGATAACAAACTTTTGTGTCAAGTAGAATTAAGGATTTTGAAGATAAACATATTTTTTCATGTGATTAATTATAAACTTATGTGAAAAATTAGTTAGTCTTATTTTCATGATCCATAATTGAGGTTAAATTAAACGATAATGATAACATGAATTTTTTTTTTAATTTTTTTATTTAAATATGATGGATGGTGGATTATAAAATAAAAAATAATTTTTCTCTTTTTGAATTTTTTTTATTCATCCTAAAATCTAAATTTGAAATCTTTTAAATAAAATTTTAGACTTTTAATTATTAAAATATCTCTTAAAAAAAAAACATAATAACATAGATTAAACACAAATTTCCCTTAGACTTTTATTTATGACATTTTCTTTCTTTGATATATAAAATGGATCCTTGGGCTCGTGGGAATTTGGAAGAGAGGTTTGTTCCTCTCAAAATAGAAGTGTTAAAAAGGCAAAACAAGAAGTACTGATACTTTGAAATAACACCCTTAAGAGTTGGGGCTTAAAAAACAGTGTCAAGTTTTTTATAAATCATCTATATCTGCAATTAAGGTTTTTTCTTTTTCTTTTTAAGTTTTCACTAATCATTTAAATTCATTCAAGAAAGAAAAAATATTGGAAAATTTTATACGTTCTATATTCAATTATTTGTAGTATTTAATTAAAGTGGACAGCGCATCAATTTTCTCACACAAATATATAGCTGATTCCAGGACAAATAATATCCGTCATAATATTAATATATAGGGGAAATTATAATTTAGCAGATTGGTACATAAAAGGATTTGAAATTTTAAAACGTACATATAATAGATTTATCATTTGAGGTGGGTGCATATAAAAATTTGAGATTTCAAGATATACAAATTGAGGCTTAAGATTTGTATTTGATATACATAACCGTTTAAAGTTATATAAAATTGTCTTAAATACCTTTATTATTCTTTTTTTTTTTCATTTTTTTAAGTTAAGAGTTTTTAAGAAATTTCAAGTAATTATTTACATAAAGTACAAATCTTAAGTGTTTATACTCATATTTTGATATCTTTAATCTTTATCTATATTTATCCAAAATTACAAATATGTTATATACACATTTTAAAATCTCAAATCTTTATGTGCGTTTCCCTAAAACTACAAGTAACTTTAAATCACAATTTCCCCTAATATATATACGCCATGCCTAAAAAACTACTGATATTCAATTACCATAAAGTCATGGTAATAATGTGACTGTAATTAATTACCCCGTCTAATTTAAAACTAGAAGTCGGAAAGTGGGGTACAAAATTGACAGGCGGCATAGCATGGGTCAACAATGAATATTACATTCTACAGTATATCTCAATTTGGAGCACTCTATATACACTCTTCTAGAGTACCCCACGCCAACGAAAGATATGGGGTTCTTCACAATGCTCTCTATGCCACTCTACCTCCCTTTCTTCTTCCTGTGTCTTAAAACTGCCTTCTCAGCCTCTTTACATGCTTCTTCCTTCTCAACAACAAATCTCTGCTCTCATGAGGAGGCTGCTGCTTTGTTGCAATTCAAGACTTCCTTTTCCATCAATTACACTGCTCCTAATCATGGTCTATGTGAAGATTATCATACCAAACCTTATTCTAAGACTGAATCATGGAAGGAAGGTATAGATTGTTGTTCCTAGGATGGGCTTAGCTGTGATAATATCACAGGTCACGTCATCGCCCTTGATCTCAGCTGTAGTCTCCTTTCTGGCACCTTTCCTTCCAACAGCACTCTTTTTCTCCTCAAAAACCTGCAAAGCCTCAGTCTTTCCTTCATTGATTTTAGGCTTTCCAAGATTTCACCAAAAATCAGTCAGTTTACTAGACTAAAGCATCTTGATATCTCTTCTTCTCAGTTTTCGGGCCAAGTTCCAGCAGAAATTGCTCACCTCGCCAAGTTGGTTTCTCTCAATCTCTCTACTAATTTTGGTTCATTGAACCTTGAAACAGCTACCTTGAGAAATCTTGTTCACAACTTGAGTGAGGTGAGCGAACTTGTGCTTAGTGGAGTGAACATGACATCTGTTAATCCTCGTTTCTTCATGAATCCTTCTTCTTCTTTGACTACTCTTGATCTTTCTACTTGTGAGTTAAGAGGAAACTTCCCGAACATTATTTTTCGCTTTCCAAATCTCAAGATATTTGGTTTACTTGGAAACAAAAACCTCACTATTGATCTTCCAAGTTCCAATTGGAGCAGTCCTCTCCAAAGTTTGTGGTTAGAAGCCACGGATTGCGGAAGGGGATTGCCAGAGTCTATAGGAGATCTAAAGTAATTGAAATCTCTATTTCTCATCTACAACTTGGAAGGCTCCATTCCAGCTTCCATAGGGAAGTTATCCCAACTTACTTTCCTAAGCTTCTCTTCTAATAATCTTAGCGGAGAAATCACATCATCACTTGCAACCTCACACAACTTGGCTCTCTTAGCCTTTCACACAATCTGTTTCTAGTCTCATTCCAACTTCTATAGGGAACTTATACCAACTTTCTAACCTATATCTCAATTCTAACAATCTTAGCGGACAAATTCCATCGTCACTTGCAAACCTCACGCAACTTAGCTTTCTCTACCTTTCAGACAGCCAGTTTTCTGGTCTCATTCCAGCTTCCATAGGTAACTTATTCCAACTCACTATACTATGCCTCTCTTCTAACAATCTTAGTGGACAAATCCCATCATCGCTTTCAAATCTCACACAACTTGTCTCTCTCTACCTTTCACAGGATTAGTTTTCTGGTCTCATTCCAGCTTCCATAGGGAACTTATACCAACTTTCTTACCTATACCTCAATTCTAATCATCACTTGCAAACCTCACACTATTTAGCTTTCTTGACCTTTCACACAATCAATTTTCTAGTCCCATTCCTTTTCGTGCAAGTAGATTTTCCAAACTATGGTCTCTAGACTTATCTTATAACTTACTTAATGGCACGTTGCCACCTTGGATTTTCACCTTACCTTTGTTAGTGAACTTGCAACTCAGTCATAACCAATTTCAAGGTCAAATAAATCAATTCCAGCAAAACTCACTTGTGGAGTTGGATTTGTCAAATAATAAACTCCAAGGCCCAATTCCTAGCTCAATTGCTAATTTAGTAAATCTTGGTTTTCTCAATTTATCATCAAATCATTTTAGTGATTTAGTAGTACCTGACATGATCTTGGGGCTTCAAAATTTGTATTCCATTGATCTTTCCTACAATAATCTGTCTTTGAGAATCAATGTCAATGCCAACTTCACATTACCCAAACTAATTTTCTTTTCCTTGTCTTTTGGTAACTTGAGTGAATTCCACAATTTCTTAAGACATTCAAATGGTCTGATGAGCCTACTGCTATCGAAAAATAGCATTTATGGCACTATTCCTGAATGGATATGTGAACAAGATTCTCTCCGAATTCTGGACCTTTCTCATAACAATTTAAGCGGGAGGATTCCAAATTGTCTTCCTAAGTTTGTTGTGTTGAATTTGCAGGCCAATAATTTGGAGGGAAATATACCATTTTGGTTTCTTGAGGGCTGTGGATTACAAAATCTACAAATTCTTGACCTTTCTCAAAATAATTTAACCGGGAAGATTCTAAATTGTCTTCCTAAGTCTAGCTCAATGTTGAATTTGTAGGCCAATTACTTTGATGGAAATAAACCATTTGGGTTTCTACAGGGCTGTGGATTACGAAATCTCAACTTACATGAAAATCAAATGGATGGGCAATTACCAAGGTCTTTGGTGAATTGTAGCAAGTTAGAGGTTCTAGACGTTGGCAACAACAACATAGAGGACACATTCCCTCATTGGTTGGAATCTCTAACAAACCTTCAAGTGCTTGTCTTAAGGTCCAACAAGTTCCACGGTTCTGTGCAGAGCATCAAAGAAAGCCCAACTTTTCCCAAGTTACGAGTTCTGGACCTCTCCAACAATGATTTTCTTGGTCCTTTGCCTATTCGGTACGTGGAAAATTTTAGAGCGATGATGGGCCCTCACAGAGATCACGATTTCCCTGAATACATGATGATGGGATCTTATCAATATTCACTAGTATTGATAATGAAAGGATTCGAGTATGAGCTGCATGGAATCTTGATCATATTCATTAGCATTGATCTCTCAAATAACAAGTTTGAAGGAGAAATTCCAGATGTTATTGGAAAGCTTAGTTCTCTCAAAGGGCTTAATCTTCTCATAACAACATTACTGGTTCTATCTCACCGTCATTAGGGAATTTGATAAACCTCAAGTGGTTGGATCTCTCTTCCAACGAGCTGGTAAGGGAAATTCCAGATGAATTGGTATCTTTGACACAACTTTCTGTATTGAATCTTTCAAATAATCATCTTGTTGAACACATACCATAAGGCAATCAGTTCAACACCTTTGGAAATGATTCTTATGAAGGAAACCCTGGACTGTGTGGAGTTCCATGATCAAAATCTTGTGATGGAAATGGGACACAACCAAGCTCCTTCCAAGAAAAAGATGACTTCTGGAGATTTGGCTGGAGAGTGGTGGTGTTAGGCTATGGATGTGGAGTTGTTTTTGGACTGTTGATTGGATATCATATCTTCCGTACAAGAAAACCAAAATGGTTTGTGTCCTTGTTTGAAGGCCGACCAAGTCAAAGTGGAAGGAAGAAGAGGAAAGCTAGAAGACTTGTTCAAAGAAGAAACTAGTTGCAGAGTTGATGTTTTAGACCTGATTTAATGTTTCCTGACTAAGGTATTGTTTGGATTGGAGGTGTCGGACGGATAGGGAGGGGAAGGGATGGGGACGGATGGCAAGGGAGGGGGAGTGAGGGGGGCTGTCTCCTTCCTCCTGTTTGGGTTTCCAAAGAGGCAGAGGGGGAGGGAGATGGACTAATTCGGACTCTCTTCAATCACCCTCAAATCTGCAGATTTGCAATCCGCCCGATTTGAGGGGTTTGGGAGGAATTTGAGTGACTGTTTAGATTAGGTTAAATATAATTACAAAATTAACCTTAATTTTTTTATTATATCCTTCTCCTTCTTGCCGTAACAACACCAAAACTCTCCTTCTCTTTCTTGCCGGCAACAACACCAAAACAAGAGGATTCAACAGAGGCCATAAACCAGTAAGTATACTCCTTGTTCTTTACCATATTTTTGTTTCTCTATTTTTTAGTTTCAAGTCTGTTGCTGCATTTGTTTGAGATTAATACATGTCAATACCAATTTTCTCCACTTATTATTTTTATTTTCTGTCATGACCTTGCTGCCATGTCTTTTTTTGTTCCATAATGGCCTTCAGTTGCTTCACTGGCCGGAGCAAAATTTAAGGTTTTGCTCTTGCCAGTGAAGTAACTTACCAAAGCAGAAATTTAATTTTTGAAACAATTGTTAAGCAATTTTTATATTACGTGTTCATTGTCCGTGAAAGTAAAATTTTTGCAAAATCATCTTTCAATACTCTTGCAAGTGCCACTTTAACACATAATATTTAAATATTATATTCAAGTATCTTCCTTCAAAGCAATGATCCACCAAACTACTTATTAGTGGTAGATAACAATTTATTGAAAAAACGGAGTACAAGTGGTACTCTAAACCCATAAGCATCATAACTTGAAAGGCATAAAGTTACATAGTCGAATAACCCTTCCATTTGGTGTCAACACCAAAATGATGTGTCAACACCACGTCAACATTGGGATTTTGCATGCTCAGCCCTTCCGTTTGGTGTCGACACGACATCCATGTCGGGATTCTGGATGCTCAACACTTCCATTTGGTGTCGACATCAAAATCATGTGTCAACACCACGTCCGTGTCGAGATTCTTTGTTAAATTTTTAATTTTCTATTTTTTTAATCAATAATTTTTTTCCTTTAATTTACATTTATCAATTTTTTAATCCAAACTCATATTATGACCCAAAAAAAGTTATAGTAAAGTACTGGACTTTTCTTGTGCTTGATTTCAATGAATAATGAAGTGATTTAATGAATTGAACAAATCGCAGTAAGTAAAAACGAATAGGCAACTCCATTATAAACTTAAAGAGTAAATTTATAAATTTAAAATTAATTTAAATCCTTCTCTTCCTTCCCTTCCTTTTACCTTAATTATTCAAATATAAAATAATACAATCCTTCCTTTCTCTTCCCCTTCCTTATTTTTATTTATCCAAACAAAATTAACACAAATCATTTCCTTCTATTTTTTTCCCTTCCCTTTCTTTTCCTCCCCCTCCATTTCCTTTTATTTTCCTACATTCCCCTCCCTTACCTTTACTATTTTCTATCCAAATAAGGCCTAAGTGCTCTTTGGGTTTAAAGTTCTTGTTATGGTTGGCATTGGCTTGTATAAAATTGTCAGCCTTCTCTTCTCTTTACGGTTTGTAAGTTTGTCTTTCTTTATTGTAAAATATATTTGAAGGTTTAAGCTGTTAATCTTTCTTGGTTATATGGATGTCCAATTAATGTACTTCATTTAGCCGGTTGGTATTGAACTGGTAGCGAAGATATGTAAGTTTCTTTCTTGGGAATCCCATTAGCACAGTCATACAAATTCATGCTTTACGCAGAAGGGGAACTGGGAAGTTTGAAATTTGAGATGGGATTTTGAAGGAATCATTTCATAATGGTGGAATCAGGATTTTTGGATAATTATCGTCTTAGGGATATAACTGTCATTGTAAAGTTGGAAAGGGTGAGTCCTGTGATTTTTGCTTCAGTCCCTCTGTCGCACTTGCATTCGGCAACATCTTCCTTCCACGACAGGGAGAACCCAAGGGACATTATCAGCATCGCAAACTCGGCTCAATTTCCCCTCTTTAGGGCTCCTCTTCTATTATGAATCCCAATTCCTTTCCATCTGCAGCAAATCCATCAGTAGCCATCTTATCCTCCCCCATACTCTCTTTTTACCTCATCACCTATCATGCACAGTTCCAATGGGAAGAAGAAGGAATAGGATTGGGAAAGGGGATACAATTGGTTTTTTTTTTCTTTTTTCTTTTTTTTCTTTTTTGAAGTTTTTAACATTTTCCATCAGCTATAACTATTGTGGGTGGTTATGGCACCAGAAACCGCTGTTATCAATCGACCCTGCTTCATTTACGGATCCAGGTGTTCATCTTTCATGCAACACAATCGAAGTTTGAAAGGCTCAATAAAATTTTCATCCAAAAGTAATCACTCCCCATGTTCGTGTTGTCTTCAATTTTTTCAATCCGTCCATTTTTGGTGGAATTTACAGTTTCAGATTGCAGAGACCTGTCATTGTTGGTAGTAGAGCTCATTTAAGATCGTTAAGTGAACAAAACAATGATCTGGGTGGTGACGAAGATGAGGTTTTAGGCCTAGGTTTGGAGTCTCTGAAGATTTTGTTGAAGTGGGGGGGGTCTTTCTGGGGTTGATGATTTTGGTTTTCTGCTGAAAGAGGGTACTTGCGGTGGAGGAAGTGGTGAATGCAGGATACGGTGTGATTGAGCAGTGGGCATTGTTGTTGAGGAATGCATGGCCTAAGGTTTCTATGGTTCTTAAGATTTTCAAAGACCAAGCTGTGATTCTGAGTGCACTTTAGGTCTATCTGCATTCTTCTCAATGGCAGAGACTTCTATAACTACACTGTGGCCATGGAAGGTTTGCTTTCTTGGTTTGATGATTGATGGTTCTCCTAATTAGTGAATAGCAATTGAAATCTGAATTTTAGTATGGAAATATGGAAAATTTTGGAAAGATAAAATATATGAAGTTGAAGAACATTCACATTTAATGATTTTTATCTTGCAAAGTTTGTGGTTGTTGTGTAATGGCATTTGCTGACTTAAATATTGGGTTAAGTTTAGCAAAGATTAATTTGATCTGCCTTTTCAAATCTTGACTGTGAAATTCATGCAGCATTATTATTGTTGTCTTGTTTGGTTGAGATGATTCTGGTTTCTACTATGTTTTTCTGGTTCATATTAACTTAGAGAAGAACAAAATTGTTTTTTTTTTTTTGAATGTCACCAAGCCATCGAGAAACTTTGATCTCATTGGTGATTTGATGCTAATTTGTGTTAGGTTTGTGAGCTGGCTGAAAAAGAGTCTGAAGATGGTTTATTGTGAATGCTTCACGGTGATGTAACCCAGTTGTTGACCACCATTGTTATTGGTACTACATACTAGTCTTTCACATCATCACTTAACTGATCCAGTTTTTTTTGTCTGTTCAATTTTGCTGTGTAATTTATTGAAGATTTTGTTTCTGTAACTAGGGTGGTCAATATTGGAGAAACTGCTTTAGTTACAGATGCAGCAACAACAATATTTGGAAAGGCCGGTGTTAGTGCAGCAACTGGAGTAATGACTGTATGTATATAAAAATTCTATCCCCTCTCTGTGCTCCATGGACCCAACCTCCTTGCCTGCCTCTATGTGTGCTTGTGTGTAAAACATTATGAATTTGTAGTAAATTAGAGTAAAATACTTAAATCTGCTTTGGGATAAATCTCTTTAAGTTAGCAGTTTTTTTTTTTTTT